TGCCGCCATCACCTCCTCAGACCTAACCAGATTGCTCGTCACCCGCCACGGAGACCCGAGTCCCACCCCCAGGCAGCTCCGCCCCACCCCGCCTGAAGCCACGCCCTCGCCTGAAGCCACGCCCCCAGGCTGGGCGCTGCGAGTACCGAAGGCTTGCAGGGCTCCACCCCTTAGCGGATCTCTGTGCGTCACTTGGAGTCCCGCCTCCGAGCTCCGCATCTCGGACGCCATTGGCCAGGGACCACGGAAGCTCCGCCCACGGGCTTTTGTGCGCATACTCTTCCGCCGCAGGCCAGTGGAGGTAGGGGAAGGTTAGCTGCAGTCATGGAGGACGCAGCGACGCCCGGGCGGACTGAGGGAGTCCCTGAAAACAGAGTTCGTTCAGCGACAGATCGGGGAGGTATGCGGGGCGGGAGTCAGAAGGGGCAGAGAGGCCCTCACGGGGCAGCTGGTCTGCCGGGCTCCGCGGGAGGCCGAGGGCGGGCGCTCACGGCCTGTGTTCCCGGGTGTGTGTCGCAGGAGCCCTGGTGGAGCTCACCCCGAACCCCGGCGGCCTGGCCCTGGTGAGCCCCTACCACACCCACCGGGCCGGGGACCCCTTAGACCTCGTGGCGCTCGCAGAGCAAGTACAGAAGGTGAGGAGGCGCGGCCGGGATCGGCAGTAACCATGTTCCTTCACTGTTGGTTCTGCGTCTTACGACTCGGACCCCACCACCCCTTAGGGTGGGGTAGCCGTGTGCTTGTCTCCGTCTTACACACAGGAAAATCGGATTGTCACTGCGGGTCTGGTCTCGAACTCTGAGACCAAAGGCTCGTTCAGCTGTAGCTTGCGTGCCCGTAATCTCCCCTCGCGGGAAGGTTTGCACAGACCTGTCCTTGTTCATTATTTCATTGGGCCTTAGGGGCAGTACAGAAGTTGTTCTCACTTGACACCTGGGGAGTTTCAAGAACACTGAAATGCAGGTTCTGCAGCCATGCTTAGTCCGCTTAAAACCGTTTCCCCATAAGATCTTTTATCTGTGACCAGAGAGCTTTTAGAACTTAACATCTAAACGGACAAAGACTCTAAGTTCGTCCTCTGTCCTACAAGCCCAGTGCGTAGACATTGATTGCTAAAGAGTAAAATCAAGAGGGAATGTGAAGTCACGGAAAAAGCACTGGAATTTAGACACATGAGTTTGAACCTTTTGATATTGTGCTATGACTTGAGGCAAATTACTTTTCTATGGACCTCAGCTTCCTTATAAGATGCAGAGTTTAGACTAGGAGAGCTAAGAGGTCCAAAGCTCTGAAAAACCAAATTCCATCTACTCTCTTACCAAGACTTGGAGCTGTAGAACCTCCTTCAATTTGTATTGGGCCGGCCCTGCTGCTTTAAAGCTTATGATAGTGCCCTGGCCGGAGGCTCAGTTCGTTGGAGAGTGGTCTCCTACACCAAAAGGTTGGGGGTTTGACCTCCGGTCCAGGGGCAGATGGGAGACAAATATCTGTGACATCGATGTCTCTCTCTCTCTCTCTCTCTCCCTCTCTCCCTCTCTCCCTCTCCCTCTCCCTCTCCCTCCCTCTCTGTTCTCATTCTTCCCTCCCCACATCCTCAGGTCCTAGCTGTTTTTGCTCAGTGGATAGAGCGCCAGCCTGCGGACTGAAGAGTCTCGGGTTCGATTCCGGTCAAGGGCACATACATGTCCGAGTTGTGGGCTCGATCCTCAGTAGGGGGCATGCAGGAGCCAGCTGGTCAATGATTCTCTCTCATGGATGTTTCTTTCTTTTTATCATCATTGATGTTTTTATCTCTCTCTTACTCTCCCTTCCTCTCTGAAATCAGTAACAATATATTAAAACAACAACCTATCCTCAGGTGAGGATTAAACAAATAAAAACCAAAGACTGGTGTGGCTCAGTGGTAGAGCACCAGCCCACTCATCAAAGGGTCCTGGGCTCCATTCCTTGTCAAGGGCACCATTCCCCAGTAGGTGGGGGCACCTGTGGGAGGCAGCAACCAATTAATGTGTCTCTCTCACATCGATGTTTCTCTCTCTTCCTTCTCTTTCTTTCCCCCTCTAAAAGTCAATGGGAAAAATATCCTCAGGTGAGGATTAATAAAACATTTTAAAAACTGGAGGGGATGGGAGTGAGACGGGCATTCCAATCAGAGCTGAGGCTCTAAGCAAAGAAGGAAGCAGCAGCTTGGCATGTTCCGAGACGAAGAGTGGTCCCGATTAGCGGCAGTGTGGAAAGGGGAAGAAGGGG